TTAACAATTTATAATAATATATATTTTTTTTTTAAAAAAAATATATATTTAGAATTTATCAAATATTATATAATTAAAAAAATATTATTATTTAATTAAATTTATATAAAATATTTATTATCTAATTAATTTATTTAAATTAATATCAAAAAAACTAGAAAATTTAATAATATATATATATTTTTTCCACAAGAATTACCTATTGTCAGAGAAATTGCAAAAAATAATGCCGTTTTAAGAAAATTACCTAAATTTTAAAAATTGCCTCAAATAACCAATAATTTCCAAAAAATTAATAATTATATATATATATTATATTTCGAATAATATATGTATATAATATATGTATATATATTATAAATTATTAATATTTGTTATTCTAAGCATTGTGGCTTATATTATGGCTTATTAAGCATATATTTCTACCCTTTCATATTCGCGTGCTTCTTCGCGAAGCTTTTGCGGAGCTTTCTTCACATGTGCATGTTTGTACTCATGTAAAATTATGATGATTTATGGACATTTATGGTATCTAAACAGCGAAAAGATTTCGCGAATAAGTTTTTTTTTTCAAATTCAAAAGCTAAAGTCTCAAGAGGGACAGATTACATGAATGGTCATCGCAATCAGAATTACTTTCAAGGATCTTTGATTCGACCCGAACTCAAACATAACGTCATTCGTGGGGAAATCAATTTGTTAATGTTTAGCTGTTTTTAATATATACAATTGATTATAATTATATATATATTATATATATATCCATATTTTGAAATAAGGGATTAACCTCAATGCAAAAAAGGTGAATCATGGTAAATCTTGCAAACAATAAAGGATTGATCACACAGAAGGCCATGGGTGTCGGACTTGTGCAAAAGAATCGAGGACAGAGTTCTGGAAGCCAGGCTGGGTCAACCTGCTCGAAGTCATCTGAAATCCATCTCTCCATATGTTGTCAACCACTAACAAATAGCCTGAGTATGAAATGGATTTACAATAAGACACACTAAATGCTGTTTGATTGGGAGTATGAGAAAAACAAAACGTCGTGTGACTGGTTCAAGAAGGGGGAGAGGCTCACAGAGTCTAGCAACAGATCCTATTATACTCGCTGCGATCGTTTCGAAAATCGGGTCAGAGAAATCGTGCAACCATTACCAACAACTTTATGCTGAGCACAAAGATCATGCAAATCGTGGATCCAAAAACGCAAGCCGCTGTGCCGACAATTTGGAAGGAAATAAGGTGAAATAATAAGGTGAAATAAGATTCGACACGAACTTGTGGCGAAAGAACGACCATGAAGAAGTTTTCAAGAAGTTTAAGGATGTTTAAGGTGTTTGAGATCCTAATGCGCTCCACGACATGAAGCCTCGGTGACGACTCGCAAATAGCTCTTGGCTGTGATGACCAATTCGTTGTAGATGACGCAGGGCCTGAAATGGCGAAGGCCGCAACTGGCAAACAACTTGAAAGTGTAGGGGGAGGGAGAGAGAGAGAGAGAGAGAGTCAGCCTTTTCGGCCTCTGCCAGAAAATTGATGCATCCATGATCCAGGGCTACAACGGCGGTAGTTGACGCCGGTGAAGGACACTTGTAGGATGCAACTTGGCCTCCTGAATGGGCCCAAAATCATCACAAGACTCAAGACTTTACTGAAATGTCGTCAAGACCGAAGCTCGTATTCTGATTCACTTCATCTCCTGTCTTGAGAGAAAAGTTCGGTAAGAATTCTGATTCACTTCATCTCGGCGCGCCGACTGTGTAAAGAGGCCCTGTCATGTGCTTCTGGAATCTTGCAGTGAAGGCTAGACATGCAGCGTTGATACTGCGAAGTCAAATAAGATTATTGAAATTGAATGTCACACAATTTAACATATTTCGAAGTGATCTTTACGGCATCTTATGGCTTCAGAGTGCCTTCAAAAGGCACCTCCGCACTGTTGCCCAATTCTTTGGCCTCAGGAAATATCTCAGTCTGCTGGCACCTCCCAATGGTACTCACTAAGTTGTCTAAGTTGCAGGCCCTCCGCAGCTCGAAATCTGCGTTGCTCCCCAAGCCTCTGCGACTTCCTTTAATGGAATCTGTTTCTGTTGCGGATCCAAACTGAGGAACTCACTTGGTGCAGGACATCCTTCAGCTGCTTCCGAATAGTTACCTTATTGAAGCAAATGTTCTCCAACTGCATCAGCAGTCATTAGCTCAGACAGATTGAGACTCGAGGTCTCTGCTGCTTTTTCGAGTGCTGCATGATTGAGACCATTTTGTGAAGCAAACACCTGACACAGCAAGACCAAGGGAACAAGTTGACAGCACCATGGACACACCAATTGCATCAACACGAGAGTCTTTTGACTTACTGGGACATACTGGGACCAGTAGCTGGCCTTTTGGTGTTGGTGTTTCTTCCATTGGTTGAATGCAGACAGAAGGGAGAGATGATCACCATCCTCGCAGCGTTTCGAGCCACAATGGCTTTGCACAGCTTCGCAAGTTTGCATCTTGCTTTCAAGATCATTCAAGATCTTCAAGTGTGCAATCGCAAAGTCCTCATGCTCAAACGCCTTGGTTTGAGCCCCTTAGCAGACTGAATGCAACCTCTGTTTCTCAATTTTGTCTTCATGCATTCGCCCATTTAAGAACCCAACTCTGCTTCGATGTTGCAAAGATCGGGGCATCTGCTGACAGCATGGCAATAATGCCTGTCACTGCAGGTCTGCATTCAAAACGATCTTGCGAAGCTCTAAACCAAAATGTAGGACAAATCAAATCTTGAAGTTCATTGAAGCAGCGGATGCTCCAAGACAGGCTGAGTTTCAGTCTTAGGATCTCCGCAGTGCAGTCAAATTCGAAGGACATGTTCAAACAATACGCGTACCTGCGCTGAGATCAGCGCTCTGTGTTTCAGCTAAAGGATCGGATCAACTCTCAGGGCACAAAGGATCAAGCGGCATCATTGACAACTTTCTGCCCAGGTCCGTCAATTCCTAGTGACCAAGGATGATCAATCAACTTTCTACCCAGGTATCTTTTGATCTCTTTGATAATGCTTCGATGTCAACAAGAACAAAGGAAGGTTTGGTGAGGTCCGGGTGTGAGGCCCAAGCATCCTTGGTGTCCAATGCCCCGATGCGACAGAGAAAGTGGGCAGCTTTCTCCAGCGCCTCTCGCGGCGGTCTGTCCACCTGACAGTTTCCACGCAAACCCTGGGAAAAAGCGAAGGACTCTGGTCAGTCATATCATGTCATATCATGTCATATTTAGTTCCACGATGTTCCGCGATGTTCCGCGATGTTCCACGATGTTCCACGGGCCACCATGATTTTGAGAGATGCTGATACAGTGCCACACCATTTGGAACACCGTGTCTTCAATGAATTTCACGATTCTCTCATTCTGATGAACTTGATGAGCAGAGCAACAATGTCACTGAGCTTCTCACAAGAGGAAAGTCGACTATCTTTGAGATTCCTAGGGCCTGCGGAGAATACCCCGGAATCAGGATGCAGTGTCATGTCAAAAGCATGGCAAAGCATGGGAAGGGTCAGTCCTTCAAGTCCATGTAGACAGATGCCATATCAACACGGAGAATCTCTGCTGGCGTTTGTGCCAGCAGTTTGTCAAACTCTGACCTGGCGCTGGCCCTGACAACCCACTGAACACTCTTAGCCTTCTCCCACATACATATCTATATGTATAATAATAATTATATATATATAATTATATATATATAATTATATATATATAATATCATATAATCATATCAAACATAGTAGCAAGAAGAATCTGCAGAATGATGCTTCAGCAAACATGACTGAGGGACTCCACGTACAAACGAAAAACCTCTCCAGGAGCTTCGCGGCCTGAAAATGTCAACGTCCATAAAAATATGTGTTCATTGGGAAACTGGTTGAAAAGTGTTGAAAGTTGCTTCAGTAGCTTGCAACGATTTGGCATGTGTAGTACACTTTGCTGAGATAGATCCAAACAGAGCTTTGTAACTATAGGATATTATTGGTGCATATTGATGCTACAAAGAGAAAAGCTCAGCAGCTTCATGTGGTAATTTTTGTGGTGTGCCTGCTCGACCAGCTCTTTGCAGAGCAGAAGCTTGCGAAGTGGGTACAGTCCTGCAACATGCCGCTATCCCGATTGAATGTCGATGACTCTCAATTTCTTGATACACCTTGATCGCAATGCCATGCATGATCATCATGAGTGTCCACAATTCAACACTGTTCAGACCCAACGCCACGTGCAGAGGGCCTGAGCATCTGGACTCCGGTCTGAGGGTGACTCATCTTCAGTTTCATCAACCCCGTGTCCTCATTCTGAAATCTTGTTGCAAACAGATTGCACAAACACCCAACCTGCCCACCATGTTGTGCGAGTCCCGTAAGCTACCCCTTCGTTTTGCAGATCAAGGTTCTATGACATATCGGATTCCTGAAATAGTGATGGAAGTCTCCGCAATGTTGGTAGCGAGAACAATCTTGCGGCACCTTGCTGCCACACCAGTGCAGTGGCATTGGGAATGTTGTTGAATACGTGCAAACTGCAAGATGTTAGCTAGGCCCCAAACCCTGGAGGGGTTTGCTGAAACACCAGCTCCTCGGGAAGTCAGGAACATATTGCTTCAGGAACCAAATCTAGATCAGGTTGCATGGATGGTTCCGTCCCTTGCTTGACTTGCTCTGCCTGCCTGCTGATCAAACGGCAAAGAAGAGTAGATTGGTCTTATCAAGAGGTTCTGCACCTACGAGTACAATGTCAATGGGACAATCCATGAATTGGAGCTTGGCGCCACTAAAGTCACTAAAGAGTCGCCTGCTGAAAGGTTGGCCACAAGTTCACGCCATTGTAGAAGTCACCTGTGAGCTGCACGTGGGGCAAGGACGGCAAGGATGTCAGGACAGGATTTTTTCTTTCCAACAGAGAGTTTGGCCTTGTTGAGCAACCTTCTTATCAGGGTTTTCTTGCCTGCACCGTGCACACGCTGCAATTTGATTGAACGCAAGATGAACACCGGTCCATTGCCTCTCTTTGGCCAACATCTCCTCGACGTTTCGGCTTTACGAGACATCACTACTACTTAAATCTCACAACGATAGGTCCATGGCTCCTGTTTCTCTTCCAAGAGCCTGTGCAAGTTGTCAATGTCATCTTGGCCAGGCCTCACTACAAATTGCAATGTACTTGCGCCGGTGGAAGCTAAAACTTGCGAACTCCTGTGTGGCAGGGGTCACAGGGGCACAAGGTCCAAACAAGAAAACAAGAACATCTCCGGGAGGTCGAGAAACATGCAGCTGCAAAACGGCAACCAGTGCAGCCTCAGAAGAACTTTCAGCTACCACTCTTGACACAAGTTCAATGACAAGTGCAGCTTGCATCAGCTTGCACAAGATCAACGGCAGGTCTTCGGTGCATGAGCATGCGCGGCTAAGGAATTCATTTTTAAACATCATGAATGTCATGGCATTCATGGCCCTGCCCACTTTTCATTCAGCCATGTCCACTTTGCGCACCTCTAGGACGTCTGGCTCCGGCGATGGCGTATAGAACACTTGCCTGTGTCCACCAATTCAAGAGTCCAGCAGAGCCAACTTTGATTGGGTGCGGTGCAATAGCACAAGTTTGGGCACAGTGCCTCAAACAATCCCAACTAGCCGAAGGAAATTTAGAAGTCAAACTTCCGACAATATGGACAGGTGGAAAAGCACAAGTGGGAGCAGTCAGAGAAGAGAAGAGAAGAAGAAAGAAGATCAAAAAAGAGAAAGTCTCAGAAGAAAGAAAATCCAGGCGCGCGAAAAGGTAGGAAAGTCGTAAAACACTGAGTTTTTCGAATGATTTGTGGCCCGGAGGGTCGAAAAGTAGGCTCGCTAAAGCGGCGGGTGCGGAGCCATGTGGTCAGATGAAAGATGAAAAGTTTCACGCTGTTGTGGTGCGAAGCGCATTCTAAGTCAAAATGTACAAAGCACACCAACGTCGGACCACTTTTGGAAATTGAGATGTCGAAAAAGTGCACGCCGTTGTGGCGCGAAGCACATTTCGAAGTCAAAATTTACAAAGCACACCACTCGGAAGTTGAGATGTCGAAACAGTGCAGGCGCGAAGCACATTTCCAAGTCAAAACGTACAAAACACACCATGCTCGGACCACTTTTGGAAATTGAGATGTCGAACAAGTGCCCGCCGTTGTGGCGCGGAGAACTTTTAGACGTTCAGATGTCGTTTTGCGTGGCAGGCGCAAGGGATTGTGCACCTTGTCAAGAGCGAGCAAAACGTGAGGGTTTTGTAGCAGTTTCAAAAACTATGGCAGGCGTGGGACATATGCAGAGGATCTGGCAAGATGCATTTCGCGTGGCAGGCGCAGTACAAGAGACATGTTCATCAGAGATGTTAGGAGGTCAGGGCGCTGATTTCCTGAGACGGGTTGCATTTTGGAGCATCAGATATCATCAGATCTTCAGTTTTGGGAAGACGATTTTGCGTGGCAGGTGCAGCACTTCGTATGATCTGGCATCAATTTTTCGTGGCAGGCGCAGCACTTTAGACAGATGGAGTGGAAAATCGCAAAACGCATTGGCACGAGGCCGTCAGCTCTGCACTCAACTTTCCATTTTTGAAGGAAGTGTCGCAGAATTGTTTCGTTTTTGGAGTTGTCAACTTTGAAAATTGAGGAAATCTTGCGGAATTGTTTCGTTTTTGACGTTGTCAAGTTCTAAAATTAAGAAGTCTCGCAGATTGCTGCGTTTTTGATGTTGTCAAGTTCAAAAACTGAGGAAGTCTCGCAGAATAGCGTCATTTTCAAGCTTGCAGATAGACAGACAGACAGACAGACAGACAAACAGATAGATAGATAGATAGATAGATAGATAATCCCTTCCTCCTAATACTAAACGTCCCCCTAATACTAAAAACAGGCATCCATCTCCAATTTCCGAAAATTTCAGTTTGGCCAATTTGACTTTTAATTGATCCCCTTTAAAAAACAATTTAAAAATCAACCTACCATTTGTGGGTTCTCCCCCCTAATACTAAAAACTAGTTCACCCCGGGGTGTTTAGTATTAGGGGGGCCTAGTCCCAATCCCTCACTCCAAGCTGCCTGGCTACTCTAGCAATTAGGGGTAAGCTTCGAACTGCCATTTTTGGCAATATTTTAATTGCGTTATATAAGGAAATTTAATTGATTTTGAGATCGGAAAAAATATTTTTTAGTATTAAGGGTTTTAATTTAGAATTAGGGGTAAGCTTCGAACTGCCATTTTTGGCAATATTTTAATTGCGTTATATAAGGAAATTTAATTGATTTTGAGATCGGAAAAAATAGTTTTTAGTATTAAGGGTTTTAATTTAGTATTAGGGGTAAGCTTCGAACTGCCATGTTTGGCAATATTTTAATTGCGTTATATAAAGAAATTTAATTGATATTGAGATCGGAAAAAATAGTTTTTAGTATTAAGGGTTTTAATTTAGTATTAGGGGTAAGCTTCGAACT